CCGCCTTGCCCTTCCAACTCGCTAACGCCTCCTTCACTGTCATGTTAGCGATGTCCCAGCGATGCTCCGGGTCGGCGTGCATATCAGGGTCGAGCTCTGGAACGTTGACGTCGAACTGCGCATCGTCGAGCAGAGTGCTGTAGGAGGTCGGCGGCAGGCAAGCATGGTAGCTCAGCTTCTCGCGAGGCTTGCCAAAGTTAGAGCGGGTGGAACGTCGAACTGCGGGCTTGTCGGCAGAGACTTCCACCACGTCGCTGTCGTCGGACTGCTCCGAAGCCGAAAGCTCCCCTTCATCGCCGCCGATGACTTCAACAACGTCGCTCGAGGTGCCTTCGTCGAACTGCTCCTCTGTCGTCCGCTCCTCTGAAGCGAGCTCCTTGTTCGACGGCTCCCCTGACGGCAGCTCCTCTGAAACGCGCTCCCCGTTCGCCGGCTCCCCTGTCGGCGGCTCCTCTGAAACGCGCTCCCCGTTCGCCGGCTCCCCTGTCGGCGGCTCCTCTGAAACGCGCTCCCCGTTCGCCGGCTCCCCTGTCGGCGGAGACTTCACTCCGACGCCGACTTGCTCGCTGACCAGATCACGTCGACCGCCAGCGATGTCAATGGGCGGATCCGAAGGTGACGCACCAATGCTCCCCTCATCGCTGGCGGCCGACGTTGAAGCCGACTTAGGCAAGCCGGCGGCGAGCGATGGGAGGGAGGTAGGGAGAGGTGGAGGAGCGTTCGAGGAGGGCGGAATGGGGGGAGCGGGATGTTCTGAAGGACCATCGTCCTCGGATTCGAGCAACGAAATCACCGCTGGCGATGGATCGGTCGGCAGAGAAATCTTCGTCCGCTCGGACACCGGCCCGTGCTCCGCCTTCCACTCCGCCAGAGACATCGTCTCGTAGAAAATTGCCTCCACGGTTGTGACAATGCGGTTGTCAGTGAGATCGAGCACCTCCCAGCCCTTGCTCTCTGACGAAACACCAAGGTGAATGCCCCACCGTGCCTTCGGCGCCAACTTTCCGCCGCGCTGCTGCTCCGGGACCATGAACTGCACCATGCAGCCCCACACTCGTGCCAGCGTAAGGTCCGGCTTCTGTTCGAACAGCAGCTCATACGGCGTCGTTCTCGGGGGAAGGGAGGCCCGTTCGAGGCAGTTGCGCACCCAGACGGCGTGACGAAGAGCGAGGTGCCACCAGTGATGCTGCACGCCCATGTGCAGCAGCATCGTCCGCACAGATTCGACGACCGTGCGCATCTCCCGCTCCGCCATGCGATTTTGCTGCGGAGTGTAAGGGCAGGTGAGGTTGTGGAGGATGCCCTTGTCCTCGACAAGTTCGGTGAATTTCCTGCCAAGAAATTCGCCTCCGCGATCCGAGCGCAACCTTTTCACCGTCATCGAAGTCTGTCGCTCCACTTCCTTCAGCCACTTCTCGAAAACGACCAGCACGTCGCTCTTCTTCGCGATCGGGCGAACCCACACAAAGCGGGTCTTGCGGTCTTTGAGGAGGAGGAAGTAGAGGCTCCCATCTGCGGCGGCCACACGGAAGGGGCCACAGAGATCAATGTGCACGACATCGAGGGCGTTTGCAGCCTCTGATCCCATCTCTGGAAACGTATGACGCGCCAGCTTGCCGCCAACACAGGAGGTACACGGCACGTCGGCTCCAGTGGACTTCTCGATGTCCAGGCCGATGGCAACTTCATGCTTCGCCGAGCTCATAATCGTGTCGATGCCGACGTGCGCGAGCCTCGCGTGCCACTTAGCCGGCTTGGACTTCGTCGCCGAGGCGATCGTCCGCAGAGCAACTGCTTCTGTCGCAGATGTAGTCGATTTCGAGGAGCAGGGGCGAAGGTCGGTGCAGAGAACTCGGCCGGTGTAGCGTGCTCGACCGAGCACATCTCCTGCAGCGGAAACGAGCAGCATCTCGTCACCCTCGTGCTTCAGCTTCACGCCGTTTTCCTCCAGCTGGCCAGAAGACAGTAGGTAAGCGTGCACGCCCGGAACGTACAACACGTCGGGGATGAGAACCTGCTTCCCAGTCTCCCCTTTCAGAGCAACTGTGCCACGGCCTTCGACGTTCTGAAGCGCCCCGTTGAATCCGCGTACGTGACGGATTTCTCCTCTTGGCTTCATTTCGACGAAGGCCTCCCGCGTTCCCATCAGATGATGGGAGCAGCCACTGTCGAGGAGAACCACAGTCGGATTCGCCTGGACGGCTGCTGCGACCGCCTGGAAGTCTTCGCCAGCCTCCGGCGCCAGCGAAATTGTTGGCTCGACCACGCCAACCATCGAACAAGAGGCTTTCTTTTCGCTCGAAGCATCACCCTCTGATTTCGTCGCCATTTTCGAGGACGCTGGCTTTTCCTTGCGCGGCTGGTTGTCTCGACGACGACTGTCGCTGTCAGACTTCCCGTCCTCTGAACGACTGGCGTTGTCAGACTTTCCGCGGCTCCCTCTCTGATTGTCGTCGGACTCGTCGCGATCAGGGCAGTCGTAGGAGAGGTGGTCGCGGTCTCCACAAATGTAGCAGCGGCGTCCTCCTCGACGCGAACCACTGCTTCCGCGATCATTGTCCTTCGCCAACTTTCCGCGGTCGGCGCTCTCCGTAGGCTTCGACGACTTTCCGCCACCGCCTCCACCTCCGCCCGACTTCCCACGCTGCCCCGTCTGACGTCCCTGCTTCGTCGGAGCAACGTAGTTAGCCTGCGGAAGGAGCTCTGAAGACCGCTCAGACTCCTGCATAAACTCGTCCTGGATGATGTGACTCGAAAGCGAATCCTCGTTCAGAGTTTCGCGCGTGCCGGGCATTATCAGCATCCGTCGCATCAGATTGTAGCTCGAGGGGAGGCCGTTGATGACATGCGTGACATACGACGCCACCGAGTACTCGAAACCAGCCATCCGCATGTCGGCCAAAATTCGCCGCGCTCGATTGCAGTACTCGGTCGCCGATTCCTGCTCGCCCATGCGAATGGTGGCCAATTTCTTCTCCAGTTGGCTGATGTAGAGGTCGTCGGTCGCTCTGTAGGTGCGCATGATGTACTGCCACGCTTGGTAGCCGGCGTCCACTTGAAGTCGGCACTGCTTCAGCGCGACTTGCACCAGCGGCGAACAACACCTCGAAATGACCATGAAGGTCAGAAGGTGAGCAGCGCGAAATTCCGCCAACATTTCAGAGTCGTCTTCGTCCGGCATCTCCACCTTGCCGTCAACGAACTTCTTCAATCCAGCGATCTCCAGTTGGGGTTCGATTGACTCAATCCATGTGATCAAGTCGTGTCGTCCTTCGAGCGGCTACGGCACAGCGATCTTGTCCGGCGAAAATTTGAAGTAGCCGTACGCTGGCGCGATGCCTCCGTCGCGACCAGCCGACGCATGAGTCGCCGATGTCGGCCTGGCTCCACTCCGCTGAGGAGAAAGGCGTCGACCATCGATGTTGCCGTTCGAACTTCCCGCTGCCGCCGAGCGCAGAACTCGTGCCTGCATTCCGCCGACGCCAAAGCCAGCGGCCCGAATCACTCCACGAAGCCTCGTGCTGCCTTCGCTGCCGACTTGGTTACCACCGTCGACCTGGTCGTCGACGCCGCCTTCGTTGCGTGCCGGTCGGGGAGTGGCGGGCAGTCCATCCGCCTCAGTACGGGTCGTTGGGTGCTCGCGCGCCCACTGCACGCGGGTTCCAAAGAGCATAACCTCCAAGGTTGCTCCGCCGTACTCGCCAGCTGCGTGGCGTGCCCGAACATCATCTAACCGCGCCTGCAGGGTATCCTCTACGACTGCAGCGACCTCCTCCTGGTCGACCATGGCGGTTTAGACTGCCGGCCTACAACAACTTAGGTATTGAGCACTAAAGTCGGCTACTCTGAAGGTTCTAACGCGGGGCCGTTCCACGCTCACCGCACCATGCGGAGAGTCACCCTACAACGGGTGTGAACTACGAAGGAGAGCACGGAGTTGTGTGGGTGATCGTAGCGCTCTAGTAGCGTTCTAACAGAGTTCGTACTACTTGCTGTGTTAACAGAGAAATTTGGCAAGAGTTTCCACTAAGGAAATTGAAAGTACATTGAAAATTGAGAATTAGAGTACAAGAATGAGCATGCAAAAGTGATATCTCTGGAATGGCATTGCAATCCCTAGCAAGCATTCTGCAAGGCGAATTGCCAGCACTGCATCAGAGCGGTTCGCCAACGCTGAAACAGAGCGGTCTGCCAGCGTAGCAGAAGGGCGACATGCCAGCGCTGCAGCAGGGCGGCCTGCCAGCGCTGCATTCGCAGGTGAATATCTGCGCAGGTGTGCACCTGCCGAGTAGGTGCAGGTAGACGGTTACACCGTCAGAGACATTGCGCAGGTGCCAGGTAGAAAACGCTCCGACGGTTTCCCCAGATGTCCGCCGTCGAGCACGTGATGCCATTTCGGAGGTCGAATTTCGCTAAGGACCACCTGAGCGAATTTCGCATGCCCTCGCAGAGTTTCGCAGTCGCGCGAATTTGGTCGACCAGTTCGCCAAGCTGACGCTCGCCGAACAGCGCCCTTCGATCAGAGAACGCAGCTCCTCGGACAGCACCCCGTCCGTCAGAGATCGCGCGACCCAGAAGCAAATCAGAAGACGAGCTCGTCGAACAGCACCCCGTCGACCAGAGCTCGTTGACGGGCTGGTGAATCAGAGGACAACCTTCCTCGAAAACCACCCGCGGTTTCAGAGGACGGGCTGCTCCAATGCGACGATCACTTCGTCGAATTCACCACGTCGTCGCAGAGAATGCCTGCGCCCAAGCGAGGGCGGGGCCTTTCACTCTGACAGTTCTCCCTTGAGAGGCAGCGTGACCCCTCTGGGACTTTGGATGCTCGCATTGGCCTCTGCCTTTGCCTCATCGAGTCGCATTTTCATAATCTTCTCTCCGGATCCAACACGCAGCCCTGGGCCGCGCTCTTTACTCTCACGGGGGTGGTTCCCTATTTCTTCCTGCCTCTACCTCCCGCTCTCTTCGTTGCTCCCGTCATGGCCACTCCTCAGGGCATGGACACAATTATGGCCGACAACGGAGCTAACGTCCCCTCCGTGAGCGACCTCCTGCCCGATGAGGGCCAATCGTCACCGCAGGCCAAGAAGATCTGCACGGGAGAGGCCTCGTCCTCTGCCCGACCTACGCCTGCTCCTGCCATGGACCCGGCTGCTGACCCTGAAGCAGCACCGGATCTTACCCTCAACGGACTGGAGTCCAGCGCTGCACCCGCGCCGGTGCTGGCTGGTCCCCTCTCGCGCCTGCGACGCAATCGCGACGTCGTCGGAGAGGTTGTACATAACTTGGTACGAGATACTCACTCACTGGTCACCATCATCTTCCCTGATAACGTGGCTGAAGTTCACCGCAGCAAGATTATCTCTCGTGTCCGCTCTGGCTTGCGTCCCGCGTTTTTCCCGCACTCTAACCGCGTGCCGACGTTTGAATCTGTTGTGGGAGAAGTCCTCCGCCTCCCCCGTCGCTCGTACACACGCCTTGTGTTCCAGCTCCCCTCTCGCGACGATGCCAGGGGGTTTCGCCGTGCCTTCCCAATGACCTATCATCACAACGGCGGCGCCGTGGAGCTGAAACTCTATGATGACCCTGGACCAGATTTCATCGCGGCCAAGTCCCGAGGCGAAACGCACCTCGTGATCCGCAACGTCCCCCTTGGGTACTCGCTGAGCGGGATCCGGCAGATGCTGACGACGAGCCGCACGCGGGAAGAGCGCAAGTGGCTCTTCGACATTCGTTCCTTTCACAAGGTCTACGACCCTTACGAGGAGGTATCGCAGCCGCAGATGGTTGGCCTTCCCATCGCTGAGACGGACGACCCCTTTTTCGAGAACATCCCCGCAGTGTTGTGGCTCGAGGATGCGCAACTGCCCATGATCATTAACCTGTCCTGCCACTCGTGCGAGATCTGCACGAGTAATCATCGCACGCGTGATCACCAGTGGTTCGCAGCGACGAGGAACCGACGCCTTCCCAACCGGTACACGGTTACCGTGGCTCAGCTACGTAACATCAATGGTATGACCTTTGCTTTTAACACCTCGGACTCCTGTTCTTATCCCCATCCCTCCTTTCCACACGACGTTTTGATTAACATTGGCGCTTGTGTTTCTCCCGTTCACTTCTCAATAGCTTTTCAGGCAATCTCCCCTCCTATGCTTGGTCATGCTCGTGCTCACACAACCGCCATCACGGATGGCAAACTCCCCCAACTGGCTGTTTCCACTCGTCCCCCTCTCTCCGTCCCCTCTTACCTACCCCCCATCAGCCAAGCTGCTTGGACAAACGCCCGTTCCACTGGCAATCAAAGCGGACCCCGGGATCCTGTACATAGGATCCGAGGACGACGTCGAGCTCTGGACCTGCGCTTTGTGCGATTTCGAATGCGGCCTTACTCTCGACAACGCCTTCGAACACATCCGCTCCCCGGGCCATGGGCTGCGCCTCATGCAGGCAGAAACCCAGACGACCCCCCTGGAGACCTGGGGCCCAAGGACAGTCCACGATCTCCGCCAGCTTCCGGAAATTCTCTCCTTCCTGGCGTCACTCATGTAGCCACTGATAGGCCAACTACACCATGGCCGAATGCACATCAGTTCCCTGCTCTATGCCGTCTAGGCCCGGCGCTGGCCTTGTTAGATTTCCATGCTTTGACAATATGCTGGCTGTGTGCCTCCCTGTCCTGTACACATTCTTCTTTACACCTCTTTTGGCGCGCCAGGGATCCTATAACACAAAACACACTCTCTCTTCCTGTCGGCTCAAAAAGAACACATAAACTCACACACAAATTGGTCTCCCTAACCTTAATAGCAGCATGCTTTCATAATGCTCTACCTCTACTTCCCCATATTAAAAAGCCCACCATTACTGTCTATGCGATATTAGCCCCGTGGATGTGTGCACACATGTGCACAGGGGCCTTTCTTTTGTTCCAATGTTAATCCCCCTAAACTTATCAGTCCTTAATGTAAATGGTCTTAACTCGCTTAAAAAATGGATGAGCTCAAAGCCATGTTTATCAAATTACCCGACATTTTAGTTCTAATTGACACACGACTGACCAAAAATTTCACTAAACTCATCCACAAGCTCCGACCCAAAGCCTATGCACAAGCTCCCCCTACTGTCAGCAGTCGCAGGGCTGATCCAGGGGGCATCTCATTTCTCGTTTTTAACCCCAATATCTCTATAATTGACCGCGCAGCCTCTGCTGACGGCCGGCTACTAACCGTACACATCCGCCTATTTCAGGAACAATTCAAATGTCTCTGTTTATACGGCCCCAACTATCAGCCGGAAAGGCAAAGATGGTGGGTGGACGCCCTGGACACCGCCCTTGATCGCCCATCTGCCACACAAACAACGTTAGTCATGGGGGATTTTAACGTAGTGACGGCCCCCATTGATCGCAACCGAGACCTTTTCACCTCTGAAATAAGAGAAGGGGCAATACTTACCGACATTTTGGAAAAGCACGATCTGTCCGATCCCTTCAGGCACCGCCACCCAGACGTACCCGCTTTCACATACAAATCTCCCTTCCTGGACGGGTCATCTGACGACCCCCCATCCTCTCGACTCAACCGCATATACATCTCCAAACCATGGCTCCCCCATGTTCTCGCTTTCGCCCATCAGTCTATCCCACATACCGTGTCGGACCACTCGAATTACCCTGAGATGCTGCTCGGGCTCAACAACCCCAACGCAGCTCCAAGAGCCTGGAGACTCCCACACTCACTCATCCACAAACCTTCCGTCACCAAACTCACCACAGAGGCCTGCTCTCAACTCCCCCCATGAATTACCCCCCAAATTTGGGACCCATGGAAAAAGCGCCTGTGTTTCTTCCTTCGCAAACACACACGTGAAGAACGGCTTCGAGTTCAACACACCCTCACTCACCTCCAAAACGAAATGTGCCGCCTCCAACTCATTCTAGTCCGCTCCCCACGCGATCAGCCTTCTCGTGCACTCCTGGACAAAACATCGAAGCAGTTTGACAAATACATTGCTGGACGCGCGGCTGACATCGCGCTCAAAGCGAAACTGAAGGTGGAAGGTGCCAAAGAAATGGGCCTGCCCTCTCTCCTGGTCGGCCTCACGTCACGCATCAAAGCGGCACTCATACCACATCTCACCCTACCTTCCGGCGAACGAATCACAGACCTCCAGGCCATGTCTACATACTGCACTGAATTCTATTCCTCCCTTTACAGTGGCAACAACCCCACTACTCCCTCCCCTGAATTCTGGGATCACATATACCCGTCATCCCTGCCCCAATCCTTACTCTCCCGACTGTCCGCCCCCATCGCGCTATCGGAAGTCACACGAGCAATCAAATCCCTGGCACGGGGCAAAACGCCTGGCTCGGACGGCCTCGCCGGCGACTACTTCCGTGCTCACACCAACCTTCTGGCACCCATCCTCCATCAACTCTTCACCTCCATTGAACACACTCAACTCATGCCGCCATCCATGCTGCAAGGCCGAACTGTCCTCATACCCAAACGCTCGGACTCTTCTCTGGTTGGAAATCTTCGACCAATCACCTTGATGAATTCGGACTACAAGATCCTAGCCATCTGCCTCGCTAATAGGCTTCAACTCACCTTACGACGTCTCATACACCCGACGCAATCCGCCTTCGTTAAAGGATGGCGCATAGGCGATACTATAAACGATTCGCTAGACCTCATGGAATGGGCAGAAACTCGGCAGCTCCCCCTTCTCCTCGTAACGGTCGACATAAAAAAAGCCTTTGACATGATTGACCGAGGTTTCCTTTACCAATGCCTCACACACCTGGGCCTTCCCCACGAGTTTGTCGCATGGGTGCGCCTCCTGCATTCCGGTACAAACACACAAGTGCTCGTCAACAACCTGGCTGGACCCTCATTCCCAGTCAACACAGGCGTCAGACAAGGCTACCCACTAGCCCCCCTCCTTTTCATATGTGTCATTGAAGTCCTCCACCGTCACCTCTCAGTCTCTCTGCCCGGCTTTGCCTTCGCACCAGCATAACGACGCCTCGCCGCCTGCTACGCGGATGACATGACGTTGTTCTTAAACTCAGGCACAGAGCTACAGACTGCCATGCACCTCCTGCAATCCTTCGCCAACATCTCCGACGAACATCCTAACTGGTCCAAATGCTCTCTGTCGCTCTTCCATATCCCCACAACCGACATTCCAACCATATGTCCCATACCCATTCGACAACACAATGAGGCCGAACGCATCCTCGGTATATACATACAATCTGACGCCCCAGGAGCCACAACTTGGGAAAAAATCCTTAACCAAATCAGACCCACCGCATCTTTCTTCGCAAAACTGCATGCCACAGCCACCTGCCGCTCAGCACTCTCAACAGAACGAATTGTCTCACGATTCGCTTTCGGTGGACGTTTTCAGCCCCCCCCGGATGGTGTCACAAAACAAATAGACCTAATTGTTGAGAACCTCCTATCCAGGCCCTCAGATTCGTTTTAGGCCTGTCTGATTCGTCAGACTAGTACACAATTTTAGTCTGAAAATCTCAGACTTAGTTAAAAAAAAAGGCTGAAATGTCAGAGTGTCTTAAAATAAAAGTCTGATCATTCAAAATCAATGTATTCAATGTTTCATCGGAAGTGTATTCAATGTTTCATTAATCTGCTACCGAAACATGCTACATTAAGGGGATTTTCGATAAAAACATGCTCTGACAGGGCGAACATATGTGTCAGGGCGAATCTTGTGGTGCGAAAAGGCGAATGTGCAATGTCAGGGCGATTTTGCTGTGATTGGGCGAAAATTGTGGTGCTCTGACAACGCAAATCTGTTGTGTCAGGGCGATTTGCCTATGATTGGGTGAAAATCTTGTGATGTAAGGCTTGGATTTGCTGTGTCAAGGCGATTTTGCTTTGGCAGTGCGAATCTGCTGTGACCCGTAAGTCCGAATCACCAGTCAAGGACGCGTTTGTACTCTGAATGATCAGAGTACACTCTCAGAAAACTCTGAACTCTCAGAGTTAGCCTTAGAAAAAGTCTGAAAATTACAGAGTTGAGGCCCAAAAAAGTCTGATTTTATCAGAGTACACAGGAAAAAAAATCTGAAATATCAGAGAAAAAAGCCCAAATCAGAGAAAAAAGTCTGACTTCTGAGGGCCTGCTCCTATCCGCCTCCAAGTATCGCGAACATGGCAGAGGAACGCGTCTCATCACCAAACGTTTTCTCTATAACAAGAAACGTCACGGCGGAGTAGGAGCCATTGAACCATCCAGACACTTACAATCGCTCAATGTGCAACGGGCAGCACGTCGCTTCTATCCCTCGCCGGCGGAAGAAATCGCGCGGTCATGCTGCCCTCTCCCTTTCGGACTCCACTGTTTTCTGCCTCATAAGGACATCCTCAAGTTCATGCCTGAAAACATCCCTGCACGCGCCATCGCTGAAGTCACCGCCACGATGGACCTCCCCACGACAATCCTTCCCCCTCGCCTCGAACCATGGGTACTCATGGCCGAACCTCTAGCCTTCAACCGCGAGATTGTACGCACCCACGGCAGACCTTTTGGCCGGATTAAAGGTGAAAAGTTCTTACTCACCCAAGAACTAAGACTCGGCAACCTTCTTGCTCCCACCGCCTCTGGATCCCGCAAGCTTAACAAGAAAGAAATTCAAGCCAAATTTCCTCCCAAGGAATTCCAAGGTGCAAGCAGGGTCATCCAAGACATCTACGACGCAATTCCGAAAACTTGGTGGCCTGTGCTAAGCACTTTCACGCCACCCCCGGACTACCTGGCGATAGGCGACTGGGCCATTTTAGCCTCGCCTACACCAGGGACAGCCTTGTCAAACATTATATGTTTATATTGTTCTAGGCTGTAGTGGGTGATACCTTAGGGGGTATACCAGGTTAGGGTTTCATATTTGTACTGTTGTTCCTGTTAGTCACACCATTCCTGCTCAGTTATTTCTGACATGGTTTCAGAGCAGGTCCTTCGCTAGGACTGTTCTCAGGGCCCACCGACTTACCTACCTGCTTACCTTCGCTTGTTTCCGGCCCCGCTGGCCCCGTCGATCTAGCACGATCTAGCGGCCCTGCGGCCCCGTCGAACTTTTTTTTTTCCTAGCGGCCTCTCACGGCCCCCGTCGCGTCGCCCCTTAGCGCCCCGATCGGCCCCGTCACGCCGCCCGCGAACCGCACAGCGCGCCGCGCTCACAGCCCGCGAACCGCCCACGCACAGCCCGCGAACCGCCTGCGCAGCCCGCGACCAGCCCGCGCAGCCCGCGCACAGCCCGCGAACTGCCCGCGAGCAGCCCGCGACCTGCCCGCGAACCCCCGCGAGCCGCCCGCGACCCGCTTACGCAGCCCGCGAGCAGCCCGCGCAGCCCGCGCACAGCCCGCGAACTGCCCGCGAGCAGCCCGCGACCTGCCCGCGAACCCCCGCGAGCCGCCCGCGACCCGCTTACGCAGCCCGCGAGCAGCCCGCGCAGCCCGCGCTGAGCCTGCGCGGCTCGTGCGCTGACCGCCGCCGGCCCGCACGCTGCCTGCTCCCGG